GTGACTCCTGGGAGCCAAATGTCTAAACATCTCAATAATAGACAGGGACGAAACGTCCATATTTTACGCACAAACTCATGCTACATCGCATAAAAAAAAAAAACCAGCCTCATTGATAATTTTCTAAACGGTCGTCGACAAAATCAAAGTGAAAAAGACGACGCGGGTCTGTAACACAGAACAAGTACATCATAAATCATAATAATATATCTCATGCCAAAATGGCGGTGTGAACGAATGTTTGCGCGAGGCGAGTAAACAACGTAAAACGACGACAATATTGTAAAATAAATAAACAGAACAACCGAAATATTATTAAATTTTTTTATCGCAGTGTAGGTATAAAATAAGAATCTCAAGATCAATTTATTTTCACTGTACTTACGCGGTGTGAAAACRCGCGCGCGCGCGCGACGGGCGACGTCAGAGACTTGCACAGACGGCCGCGGTGGTCCAGTMGTACGGACCGGATATTTCGTTTTGCATACGAMGCGCGATTGGAATTTAATTAATAATTATTAACGATTTTTACAWTAATTATTATCGGCAGCGGGTTTATGTTTTTTTCTTTCGGTTTGTTTCGCGAGAGGAGYGGGTAGGCGGCGGGTGGTGACGAGTTAAAATGGATACTTACGGGAGTTGCCCATGGTGTGCCGGCCAAAGGTAACCAGATAAATGTGTGCGCCGTTGGACGTTGCCGGCGGCGTTACGTGTGCGACGGGAAATCACTGGCTGTAGGTGGACGGTATAGTGGAGAGGACGCACCGAACGAGAGGAACGCAATAATTATTCTCACCCTCCTCCACCTCCTCCTCMTAAGRCGATGGGTATCGTTGACTGTCGTGACGGTGGCGACTGGCGGACTGAGAGCGCGGTAACTCCGTGGCACGGGGTCGGTTTGTGTCTGAGAGACGGGTTGGCGGCTACCATCGGACTTCGGAGCGTTCGGACTGAAAGCTCCGACCCGCGCCCGACGCGGCGGCGGCGGCGGCGCCCCGGGCCAATGGGAACGCTCGACGCGGCCTCGCGGCACTCGTCATGGGATTCCCGACTCTCGTCCGTCTATTTATAGAAATCGCACCATCGCACCGAGCCTATTCGTAATTACATTGATGTCGATATAACATTACAATATTTTGTTATCGCGTACACGCGCGCCGTTCTCGATTGCGGATAACGAGCGGTTTGTTGCGTTTTTCCTAATAAATAATTATTATTTTTACCTATCGTCGTTATTATAATATTATCTACACGGCCGCTCTGGCTAGCTACAAGTTTGTAACGTAAATTACTGATGGAATGATTGTTAATTATGGTTCGCCAAAAATACCCGTAACATTCTTGATAAAATATAATAA